CTTATCGCTCAGCGGATCAACACCCCACCTGCAAGGCACAAACAGGTGTTGGTCATTCTGCGTTGGGAAAAGGGCGATCGTGTTGGGGGGGGGGGAGAGACTGTCGGGGAGAGATTTGGCCAGACATACGAGCATGGCTATAGAAACAAAAATATTGAAGTATTCAAGTATCTGTAATATACAGAAATATGTTATAATATGTTTTCTTTTACGAATCACAACCGCTTTCAAGTTGACATTTCAAATGACACATACTGTAGTTTGTATTCGCTTCTGTCCATTAATTTACACCACTGTTGTACTAACAGGGTGCAATAAAGCATTTCTGAGCTTTCTTTATTTTATTGTGGTTTTTTCATGAGCCTTCCAGCGGCCAGTAATAGGGTCTGAGTCGATGAATTCGCGCAAAGATTTCTAGGAGACCGCGTCTTCACCGAGACGGTCGTGGAGTTAGGAAGAGCTCCAAACGTCGAATTACCCTACAACACGGAAGGAGAACTCGAGAATGGCAGTGTGGCTGAAGAGCTCCAAATGTCGGAGCACCCTACAATACGGAAGGAGAACTCGAGAATGGCAGTGTGGCTGAAGAGCTCCAAATGTCGGAGCACCCTACAATACGGAAGGAGAACTCGAGAATGGCAAGGTGGCTGCGACAGCGAAGAGCTTAAGAGAATGTCAGGGTCTCACAGTATGCAAAATTGTCTCCTTTAACCTGAGGAAGAGGAGAGAGGGATAGAGGAGGCAGTAAGACAACGCGATTGGGAGAGGTCGTTTTGCAGACTCTGCGTTGTATTTACTGAGTATGCGATGGGGAAAGCGTGGCAGGCCGTATAAAGTTCAGCATTGAGTTCATCGAGCCTCCAAAATGTGTCCACTAACCATAATTCCGCGAGGTCGTAGCCACCAGAATGAGTTACAACGTTTGCACCATGGAGACGAATATCGGCTATCGCCTTCAATCAACAGTCCAGCATCACTTCATCGTGGTAGCTCAGGTCAGGGATTACTGCACGCTGCAGCCACCCGACAACCCGCCCTGACTTGTCGGCGCGCGTTTGCAACTCCATGCGGAGATCCCCTGCAAAATTCTGCGGCATTTTTATCTTGCGTGGTCACGACTTCGAAGTGAATACTGCAGTCATCGGTATGACTGGTGGCATTCGGGCGGCGTACCACTCATATTTGAATGAAAAACTGACTGCATAATCTTGATGGAGATGATACTATCATAAATAAACGAGGGTTGATGGACAATGTCAAACGCGCATATTTGGGACGCTTGCACCTTATCCCCGCGATACCTTAAATGTCTTGCGTAGGCATTAAATATCTTGTTACCGTTTTGTGTTACTTCTCCGTTGTTTGTTAGCTGTAAACTTGGGCGTTGCATGGTACATTTCAACCTTAAAAAATTATTTCCCCATCTGTCGACATATATCTCGCTTATAAAACTTCAAAGGCCTGATTAATCCTTCAGGTTACTCAAGACTGCGCCCAAACGCACATTTCTGGTGCATGTCAAGTCTGGGTCAAGTTGGATGTCCATCCCTATGACTAACCTTATATGTCAGCTCACTGCCTGTCACATCTTAAAAGATACGTGTTTTATTTCTAGCCCATAGGGACCAAGCCAAACCCCTGTGACCTGTGAACGGTAAGTGAAACAATTGCTATTAAGCTGAACTTAACAGGATGATGTGCACAGAAACATTTAAGACACAACGATTTCTCCATTGCATCAAAAAGTGCATTACAAAATGATACGAATAGCTATGACCAATGTTGTACTGAGAATTACCGTTTTGATTCGGATCTCCGCTTACTTACACGGCAGACATTATTTGATATATTTGACCCGCACCCATTTTGGCAGTGTCAAAGTGTTAAAATCATGAAAAGTTATGGTTGCATTTAAATAAAAGCCAGTGTGAAAAAGAAAAAAAAACCTTAGGGTACGGAATGCAATATATTTGCATACATTCGATACACTGCGATTGTGCGACATATTGATGTGCGTTCTTGTCTTTTCCCAAGGTGGATAAATTTTACTAATACTGGCTCTTGCATGAAACGTACAAATTCGTGCATCGCTCATCCTAATCGTCAGCCATTCCGTTTGGGAATGTAGAGCAACTAAAACAGTTCCATTGCAAGCGTTCACCAATGCAGTAGAGCAATACGCAGATTGAAAATACACAGACAGTGCAAGCAAACGACAAATGAAAGAAATATGTAACCACGTGGGGTCCAATCAATTAGGTGATAACCAATCACCAATGAGATGGTGTAAAATGTTAAAATATGGTGCATGCGGCACACGAGGAAAGAATGGCGAGTGTCGCTTGTAAAATGTGCAGATGTGCTAGATATGTCTTCTTTATAGAGGGTGTGGAACAAGGCACATTGTCACGTTGACACACTACGGTGGTGGTTTGGAGCACAAAACCCGTTCAGTACGGCATAAAACCTGTTCAGTCTCGGCAGGCTCTAGTTGGCACAAAACGTTTGTGTTCGTCGTGGCACGCATTATTTTCGTCATTGAATGCATTCCTTTAAGAATTAGACCCGGCCAAGTTCCAGACCGAATTGAGATGTGAATGCGGAAAACTTTTGGGAACGGTTGGTCTAGCGAACAAGTTTGGTAAAAATGTTAATGTCAGCTCCTCATTGCCACCTGCTCCGCCCTCCCCGCCCACAGCTTCGTCGTGAACACTCAGAGCTTGCCTCACCTCCGCAGTGCAAGCTGCACACATGAGCCACGAGCCGGCTTAAGTAGCGGCCTCGTGGAATCCCACCGCTGCGCCTCACCAACCCCAAAGAAGGAGCCTCGTGGGGTGTAGGTCTCGGAAGCGAAGGTCTCTAAGATGGATGCGGTCTTTCTACACCATTCACCCTTCTCCTTATTGCAACAGCTCTGAAATGGATATTGCTGGTCGAAAGAGCTCTGATCCAAACCAAAGGAGAAAAACTCTGGCGAGACCTTAGCCAGGAGACCTCAACTGGCCGAGATGTCTAACCCGGAGACTGCAGCGCGCGGTGGGATTGGACCCGAGTACGGCAAGACCGCCGCCGCGGGCGGTCCAGCCCCGGCTCAGCCGATACCCGGCGTCGACGAGACCGGAAGGGCGGGGCGTGATCTGGGCCGCCGCCTCGGCGCCGTGACGAGCAGACGGTGGTCGCTACCGTGACGTCACGCCCTGCCGTCGCCAGCATCGGCCTCGGGCGCTTGTCCCGCCGCCCGAGCTGGTCCACCTGACCAGCAGGCTTCCCTCGGGGCCAGCGGCGTTCGCGGAAAGGTGGAACTGGTCTTTCTGACACTGGATGACCTGTGTCGGTCCGGTTTCATGACCCCGCTAGACGATGTCCTTGCGTTAGTTTGCCGAAGGTGCTCATTTGTCTTTTCTTACTTTTCAGCTTATTGTCAACAGCAAAATGCCTATTGCAAGCATATTCCACCGGCGGGTGAAACTTGGTATTAAAGCAACACAAGGTATAAAGGACGTAGCCTACTCAAATGTTCTTCCAGCCATGTATGCACATATCAATGTAGTGCTGAACGACTGCTCGCTGCAATTTTCAGAATCCGTGTAACCATTCCACACAAGGGCTCTGACGTGGCAGTCGTGCGGTGGTGTAACCGTCGTGAAGCCGTCCGAAAATGCCGGTGTGTGTTTGCAGGAATGTCTTATGTTCAACGTTATCACAGCCTTTTCGCTGGTTACATATGTTGCAGGCTTATGCAGAATGCCGTAGGGGCTTCTGCACCGAGAAGCATGGCCGGCATCGCCATCTTTTTGTGGACAAATTTGGACGACTGCGAGTCGGGCGAGCCATTTTTTGCTTAGAACGGGTTATTTGGCAGTGCATCCTGTACGGCGGGCTGCAGCTCTGAGAGCGACTTCTGAACACCTGACGTTGTTCGTGATCTGGCGCATTACCTCGTGGCCTGCTGGTACCGGAAGCGGCAGAGTTTCGAACAGCCGTCGCGTGAGATAACTCCGCGTTGATCTGCTGCCTCCTGTCACCGTTACGCATGAGCGCAACACAAAGCTCTCGAATATCTCCGAGCTGCTGGTCTTCAACGTAACGAGCTCTCTTCAGAATTATTGCCTGTCTGGCTTCCATGCCTGCATCCCAGCCGTGAGACGCACCGCCAGAACGAAAGCAGAATGCGTGGGCTGACCAGGGTCATCCCCGAGGACCTGTTCTTCGGCCAAACCCCCTCCCCGTCCGCTAACAGGCACGAAAGATCACACGCACACGCACAGAGCCGTTGTCCCCTCCAGTCGTAGGAGCGCGCTCGCTCCCCCCGACCAGCACTCACCCATGTTTCGTGGCGGCGGTGCTGACGGTCCGTGCGAGCTGTTCGCGCGCTCGTCACCAACACAGCCGGTCCGCCGCGCTCCGATTCGGCCAAGGCCCCACCGCCCGCCGCTCGGCCGCTTTCACCTTCGCCGCCCGCCGCGGCGTAAGGCTCAGCGCGCCGCGCCCAGCCGCCTGGAAAGCGCCTCTGTTGACTTGCCCCGCGGAGGCGACGTGGGGCGTGACGCAAAGACGGTGCGAGCAGAACCGCATCGGACAGCGCGCGACGGCGCGGGCAGAACAGCAGCGCGTTTGCGTGCAGTTCCCTGCAAGGAGCTTCTCCTCACCATCCTGTTCGTGTGGGGTGTGCGGAGCCATTCCAGCTCGTTAGCGCACTTTGCTCTAATTTGTTTCCGGCAAAAGAATAACGCGTAACAGAATAGCTGTACCTCACATCAGTTCTTTCCCCGAGGTCGTCAGTTATGCGCGGCACGCCCGACCCTTCTGGAATGCGCGTCCGCCTGTTCGGGTCGCGCGCCACCGTCCGCCCGGGAAGCACGCCTGACTGCGCCCCTGCCTGACTCACCAGCCGCGGGTCGTCTGTCCCTCCTACGTGCCGCGGTGGCGTCACGGCTAGTTGCGCACCGGTCCGCCGCGCGGCGCCACCGGCGGGCGCGGCGACTCAGTCAGCGGCCGTTGCTGCGTACAGCGCGGCGGCGGAAATTGGCGCTTTCAGTGGAGCGCCGCGCCCCGGTCGCCGCCGCACCCGCAGCTCGACAGGATGACGCCCTGGCTCGCGCTGCTCTTCCTGGCCGCCCTGCTCCCGGACGGGGCAGACTGCGGTGAGTCGCGGCACGGTGGCATGCTCTCGAATCGCCGGCGAAGGCGGATGCGTGGATGCTGTGCCCTCCGAGGCATGCGTTTCCTGTTGTTGACGCGATTTGTCTCGGGGTGGATGATGAGTCACGATGCCGACCGGCCAGGGGGCTCATGGCCCAGCTCGGCGTTGTAACACTGTTCTGGTTGAAGCAGTGATGCGTGCTATGTGCACATCCTGTTTATAAAATGGCGGGAAACCAGAAGTCAACCCAACATTCCTACTGCTAAACTATACCGTTCAAGGTTACGAGGATAAAGGTATGTGTTGTTCCTGCCCGAACGCAAAGACCCGGTGCAGCTTCACTGATGGCGTGAGGTTGAATGGCGTTACAATAATGCTACAGGAACAACACGTGTATATATCCCGTAACCTTGAACAATGTACGTTAGCTCCAGCAACGATGTCCACCGGCTCCGTTTGCTTGATCGAGATTTGAAGTGACCGTGGCGCCCGCCCGCCGGACTGTGACAGGCAGCCGTGCCTTTCATTATGTAAGGTGTCCTGAAGCCGGCACAGTCAGTCAACAGGCGTGCGTTGACCGTCACGCGGTGACAGGCTTGGCGAGCTGGGGGGGGGGGAGGGTTCCCCCCGTAATGACGTCAGGTGGCAGAGTTTTGCGAGGCGTCACGTATGTGCATGCCATGCTTGCGGACGATCTACTTATTTTTTCGTTCCCCTAGGATGTGGTCTTTTGTGTGCAACCAGCAATTAGTGATGCATGTAATGGATGTAAGTCTTTCCTTCTAGTGAATTCATGGGATTCACAACGTATATATGTAGAAACAGCTGTCAACAACATTAAGTTGCCAAACAAAGAGCAAAAGAGGAGTGTTACTGCCCCATGGAGACTGCGCTCCCGCTGTGATACAGCAGTACTGTACAGCATAGCGATACAACAGCAGCACATCGCTTCACTGGAGAGCAGACTCGCTACAACCGGCTTCCTGCGTCCGCGAAGTGCGCAGCGCGAGTTGCGCTCCAGTAACGTACTGCTTGCACGCGTCAACACGGCGTGAGCTTTGTATCTGTGCTACAATATTTTGCAATCCGATCTTGCCTCGTGTAACGTACCGCTGAGATACCAGTCTTCTCTTCTGTGCTGCCAGGGTCAGATACCGCACAGACTTCGACCTCTCTCGTCTACGGCATGATGAGAGTGTAGTGCTCGTTCGTCTGGGCGACGCTCCTCCTCGACGTCGGATAACGACTCGTGCTGTCACCCTCAGCCCGGTCCAGTAAGCCGTGCCGCCACCCTCAGTCCGGTCCAATAAGCTGTGCCGTCACCCTCAGTCCGGTCTAGCGTGCCATGTCGTCACCCTCAGTTCGGTCTAGTGTGCCGTGCCGTCACCCTCAGTCCGGTCTGGCGTGCCATGTCGTCACCCTCAGTCCGGTCTAGCGTGCCATGTCGTCACCCTCAGTCCGGTCCAGTAAGCCGTGCCGTCACCCTCAGTCCGGTCTAGCTTGCCATGTCGTCACCCTCAGTCCGGTCCAGTAAGCCGTGCCGTCACCCTCAGTCCGGTCTAGCGTGCCATGTCGTCACCCTCAGTTCGGTCTAGTGTGCCGTGCCGCCATCCTCAGTTCGGTCTAGCGTTCCATGTCGTCACCCTCAGTTCGGTCTAGTGTGCCGTGCCGTCACCCTCAGCCCCGTCTAGCGTGTCGTGCGTCACCTTCAGCCCGGTCTAGGGTGCCGCGCCTTCACCCTTAGCATTGTCCAGCGTGCGCACCACGTGACCAACGAGTCCCCTAGTGTGCCCACCACGTGACCAGCGAGTCTCCTCGCGTGCCTACCACGTGACCAGCGAGTCCCCTAGCGTGCCCACCGCGTGACCAGCGAGTCTCCTCGCGTGCCTACCACGTGACCAGCGAGTCCCTCGCATGTCCTCCTCAGCCAACTGCAGCGTGCCCACGATCATGCGCGACCAGTGGTACAGCTACGAGGACGGCCAGAACACCATCACCGAGCTGGACGCGACGCGCATGAGCGGCCGCGGCGAGTGCGTCGCGATGGTACAGGACAGCTACCGCTACACCATGCTCTTCAAGGACAACAGCTGCTACCACTGCGTGCAGCTGCTGGTGCGCACCATCAACGTTATGGAGAAGCGCGAGAGTGAGTTCGGCGTGGGTCTGGAGGGAGGGGTATCACAGCGTGGAGCACGTGCCCCTGCAGGTTTGCGTTTTCATCCGTACAACTACCGCACGCTATCAGCGCAGTTCTTTTACCTATTTTGAGCATCATGGCAGATACCATGTGCTGGCCAACGGAGACACGGTCTCCACACGAACGACACAGTTGGGTCGGAACGCATGCCCTGGGTTAGACAGCACGCTGCGATGCACGCGCTTGCCAGCGTGTGCGTGTAGCGGGCTTTGACGGCGCACAACAAACTGAGGTAACGTGGCATTTTACAGAATGTCTTATCACACCTCCGAATCATTGCTCTCAAAATGCAAATCGTGGCTCTGTTCCAATCCATGGTCGCTTTTATGCAATGCTGAGTGAATTCCTAACCTGAAACGTGGCCTTGCAGCTGGCTGTGTGAACTTCGCATCTTCGTTCTCGCCTACGCTGGAGCAAGTGTGCAAGAACTTGGACACTGAACAAGATCTCATCACACTCTTCAATCAGAACTTCCGACCCAAGATCTGTCGGTCCAGTTTGGAAGGCGTCTGGCAGTTTGCTTACCAAAATCGATTCCGGTTCGTACAAGCTTATTATAGAACTCGATGATGTTATGTAACGTGATAAGTAACTCAACAGGCTAGAGGACGCAGGGTTTCGCGCAATGAAGAAAGCCGCTTACTAGCCACATATGCTGCCCCCATGCTTACATACGCTTGCTAGCCGCATGCCAGCGAACTGGGGACGAGTCACATATGCTTAGCGTAACTAAAGTGGGGTCAAACGTTGTGTCGCATGACAGTTGTCAGTAATGTCTTTGATCGTGATAATAGTAGGTGATTAGCACAAGACGTAGACGTTTTATGGCTTCAGTCCCGGCACTCCCTTCAGGCTGAGAGGTAGACGACACCATATAGACCCAGCAGCTGAGCGCGTTGTGAAGCCCCAATGACAACAAACCACTCCGCTGTTGATGGGGCCCCGCCTTCATCCTCTGCTGCAGGTTCACCGGCGAGTGCAACAACCCAGACAGTCGCTTGCGCTCTTGCCAGGAGCTGGGCAACCAGTTCCTGATCGCCAACCAGAAGTTCACCATGAACTACGCTCGGTGCGAGTCGAAGGACGACAACACTGAGCGGGATCCGCTCTACCGCAACGAGGACATCAACCAGGGCAAGGTGGAGTTCGCCTGTCTGGGCGACTGGAAAGTCGGCAAGAACCACTTCTTTGCCGTGGCCAACACCAAGGAGTCGCGGAAAGAGGCCAAGTACCGTTGCTTCCTAAAAAACCGTGACGACGACCTGCTGCTGGGCAAGAGCATCACTCCAGAGTGTAACGTGCTGAAGACGCCCCAGGACAGCCCGGAGAGGCTCAGCCTGACACCAGGTACGGCACGATACAGCTACCGGACGCTGGGAACCGGAGAGGTTCAGCCTGACACCAGATATGGCACGAGACGGTTACCGGGCACCGGGAACCGGAGAGGCTCAGCCTGACATCATGTATGGCGCGGGGCAGTTACCGGACACTGGGGACCGGAGAGGCTCAGCCTGACACCGCGAGACAGCTGCTGGACACGGGAGACGGGGGAGGCTCAGCCTGACATCATGTATGGCGCGGGGCAGCTACCGGACACTGGGGACCGGAGAGGCTCAGCCTGACACCGCGAGACAGCTGCTGGACACGGGAGACGGGGGAGGCTCAGCCCGACACCAGGGATGGCGCGGGGCAGCTACAGGACACTGGGGACCGGGGAGCCTCAGCCTGACACCAGGTAAGGCACGACACAGTTACCGGACACCGGGGATTGGAGAGACTCAGTCTGACACCAGGTACGACACGAGACCGATACCGGACACCGGGGATTGGAAAGACTCGGGCTCAGACCAGTAACGGTGAGAAGTGCACCCGTCAGCGTACGGACTTTCGGTAAGTTCTGCACCGAGTAGAGTCGTATACGGGGCCGTGCTCACTCGTGATGGAGAGCGGTAACGGCCAGAAAGCTGCGTACAGGCACGACGTTGCTCAGGTCCGGAGGCAGATCTGCCGCGGGCTCGGCATGAAGCGGCCACGACGCCCGGTCTGGGGCTCTCTTCGAGTAAGGACCGCACGCAGTGTGTGGGGAAGTGCAGCCAGCCCACAGTCAGGGGGCGGGATCTTGGGTGGACCCGGAGAATGGCGGTCCGTCAGGACGACACGAATGCTCACAGCGAACTGGTGGGCGTGCTGCGGCCAGACAGTGCACAGCTGGGTACTAGGGGGCTCCGGATGCGCGCTGTCGCATGAGGCCGGGTGCAGTGTCTGGTGTGGACTGCCCGACGGCGCGGTGGCGGCAGAGGCACTCAAGTTTCATCTAGAGAATCGTGCGGACCGATACCAGGGTCGAATTCCCACGACTGGCACTCGACAGTGGGGGACGAACAGTAGTCCTTATTCCGCGGTCATCGACAGCGTCCTATTTTCTTTGCTTGGTGTGGCAATTTTAGTTCTACCCGAATTATCTGATATCCTTTTGCGCATTTATGGCGTGCAATCTCACATCAACGCGCGATATCTATCCACGCGGTAATGGTTTGGCGAGCAGTGGGGAAGCTGTGAACTTTACCTGCCTAATTTTTATCTGGATTGAGAGGAAACCGCGCTAAGACCTGATCACAATGACACTTAATGCAGGGAGCATGCTACCATGCGTTTAAATGCATAGAATGACTAATGCCTCTACGGTTTTGCTAAAAGTAATGCTGATATTCCTAAAAAACGTTATTACGCAATTTTGCTTTATTGTTCACCTTCGTAGTTCCGTAGCATTGATGGTACAGTCTATCACGACCCAAATTCACGTGAAGCAACTCTGTAAAAATTTTAGATTGGCGACGGTCACCATCCATCGGCCAGAACTGCATCGTCCGTCTATTAAGTGTCTCTCGCTATTTCGTCCTCCTGCAGAGAAGTCAGAGACGGTGACACCGCTCTGCAGCATGCCGACCAACTTCACCGGCGACTGGGTCAACACGGCCAACACCGACGCCGACGTGGTCATCAACTCAACGCACGTGGTGGAGACGTACTACCCTGACGAGGGCCGCTATCGCCGCACCATCTACACCTGCCTGGAGAAGCAGGGCAACCGCTACATGATGGCGCGCCAGAACATCGACGGATGGTGAGGCGCGGGGCCGGCGCGCGCTTCTCGTCGGCCGCTCTCCTGCGGGCGGGACACCGGGCCGCTGGTGTACGCGCGAGACGACGCGCGGGGATGTCAGCGAATGGGAGGTGCCCTCGGCTTGTGCGCGAAGGCGGGCAGTCCACGGTGACCGTGTCACAGGTCCTAGAGTCGCCTCAGTTCTGCCCGCCTGTTTGGGCTAACCCGAATCTGTTGGGTGCAGACATGAGTGAAATGACGGACACGTGTGATTTGCGTTGGTTTTGTACCTTAAGTTGCAGTCAAAGTGGTGAACATTCCTACACCACCCAAAGCTTACTTTTTGTTTGTAACGAGCAATTTGGTTCAAAATTACGTAAGTTGTTCAGTGCATAAGCAAGAAACATTATTCACATAGATAAGACAGTAGTAATAGCCTTATTCCTCGGAGAAAAATCAGGAGAATGGATATATAGATGGGTTGATGCTTCGGCAACATGCCTTTATTGAAACAATTGCAGAAAGTTTCCTTTATCGGCAGCATGTCTTTTGTCGAAACAATAACACTTCTACCAGCTGTTTCGATAAAGGCATGTTGCCGAAATATCAACCAATCTATTTCTCCATTCTCCTGGTTTCTCTCTGAGGAATAAGGCTATTCCTACTGTTTGTCTCCATGACGAACAATATGAAATTGCTGTGTAGTGGATGTCATGAATGCCACCAGTATTTATTTTAAAACCGCGCGTTGCCTGCTTGCCCCAACAGTCAGACAGACTACGTGTGCTTCGACTTCCTGCCGATGCACCACAACGTGATCCGGTACCGTCGCGGCCGGGAGCTGATCAGGAACGAGTTCCACACCGTCTGCGCCTGGAAGCAGTTCGAGGGCAGCGACGGCATCAAGCAGGTCGGCAAGGACGGCTCCTGGCTCTACAACATCATGGTCGGTGAGTGGTCTCCGGATCGGCAGTGTGTCAGACGCGGTAGATGGTGGGCAAGATGTGTTGCAACTCTCTTCAGATACAGATGTAGTTGTGGAGAGCTGTGTAGCAAACGCGGACGTAATGTGGCAACGTTTATCGGCTCGCGCATAACAGCTGCAACTTGAATGTGTATTACACTAATATGACTACATGGCTACATCCTGGAATATTCTAGACGCAATTATGAAATCAAAGCGATCTAATTCAAAGCTGACTCAGATTTTCCTTAACGCATAACTTGCCACAACATTGTTTGAAGCTATCTTGGACTTGGGTACCAGAGAAAGCATGTTTGATTTTGACAAGCATCGTCAAATTCTGTATTTATCTTGCTGCGCACGTGCGTCGGTCAGTGCCGTGCAGGCAGCGTTACCTGGACACGTCTGGGCGTCTCCGTGTAGGCTTGCATTACTTATCAGTCAGCTGTTGTCCTATGGTAGCACGCGGAACGACACTGACCTGTGTTTACTTGCTGCTCTCACTGGTGACCTGCGTTGGTTCACCGCTCCAGGTCGTGACTTGTGCTGGCTTGGCGCTCCTGGCGGCAACCCACGGTAGCCCGTGATCCAGTTTTTGTCTGATAATGTTGCCTAGGATCTCAACTGTCAGGTATCATTTCGTGTGAAAATGGCCCAAGTTAGCAATGTCGTTGTGGCAAAGCCGGCGGAATACAGTAGGTGACAAAGTTCATAAAATAGGCGGCTCGAAAGAAAAACATTCTGCAGAAACACAGGCATGTCTAGTACCACTGAGTGCCAGTTCCCGAATGGTGTTAGCCTTGTCCGCTATGCGTTCCGATCACTGCCACCTAGCGGTGGCGAGCAGCCGCCGCCGCGCTGGCGGCGCGGGCTGAGCTCTGTGTCCCCTCCTGGACCTCCTCCTGTCGACGCGCCGCCAGCCCGGCAGCGCGGGACTTCCGCGGGCCCGGCCGGCCGATCAGCCTCGTGCCGCTCCCTCCTGCACCTGCAGTCTTTCCAGCCGGACCTCAGGTCCCAGACGGGACCTGGACCGGTCCACCGACAGGTCTCGTGCCGCTCCCTCCTGCAGCCGCAGTCTGTCCAGCCGGACCTCAGGTCCCAGACGAAGCCACGGACCGTGAGCTGCTGCTCGTTCCGTTTGAGGCGGCGATCTGAGCCGGCCGTTCTCCGCCTCCCCGTAGCCAAGAAGCCGGTGCCGATCGGCTGCCCGGTCGCCGGCATGTTCAAGTTCGAGCAGCAGGGCGAGATCAAGTTCCGCACACGCATCCTGCACGGCATCACCGACTCGCCGCGGCCCGACCTCAACTGCCAGTACGTCATCTCCGAGTTCGCCGCCTGCAACCAGGGCCAGAAGGCGCAGACCGAGATCAGCATTGACAACGAGAAATGCTACTCGGTCGACTACCTTGGCCGGCCGCACGACATCTACAGTAGGTGGCGCGGCCGTCGCCGACGGGTGCCGCGGGGGGAGGGAGAGGGTTGGGGGCGGGGGGGGGGGGGGCAGGGGACTGGCTGTTCTGTGACGCACCCCGCTCCCACCAGGCTTAGCTCAGTGGTCTTCTGTTGTTCCGTGTTCCCCGGTTACTCGCCAAGGTGGATGCACTGAATGGTGAATGGCTGGTGAATGATGGTGAATGACTGGTGAATGACGGGAGTTGTTTTTTTTTTGCCACCGAACGGCCGTCGGACGCGAGTCTGCTCGGTCCGATGATGATGCCGCTCATGTGTGGGCATTAGCAGGGGCGGACCCGGCAGACTCCTCACGCGTCGTATCGACGTGAACAGCGCCATATCAAACTGAGCAGGAGACATTTAAGGACAACTGAGCAAAGCTGAAGCGGCATAAGCTGGTCAATGCTTGATTCTTTGCCCTTGAAGATCAGAAGAATTCGCTTATTGTTAATAGATTTAGTCAGAGAGCAAGAGAGAGAGAGAGAGAGAGAGAGAGAGAGAGAGAGAGAGAGAGAGAGAGAGAGAGAGAGAGAGAGAGAGAGAGAGAGAGAGAGAGAGAGAGAGAGAGAGAGAGAGAGAGAGAGAGAGAGAGAGAGAGAGAGAGAGAAAGAGAGAGGGAGAGAAAGAGAGAGGAGGAGGATATGCATATATATATATATATATATATATATATATATATATATAATGTAAATATTCTACCACATATTCAAAACTTGGATGGACAAAAGTATCGATGACCTGATTTGATATATCCACAGCGCGGATAGCTAACGCCAAGTGCGACAATTCATTCCCGTTGTATTCAGCCAACCGGAAGTACTCACTGATACTGCAATATCAGCAAGTTTATCTTCAAGTGAGAACAATTTCAGCTGATTCTAATGTTTGCAGGTGACCCCGACTACAAGATGCAGTGTGTAGGCTACTGGCGGGAGAACCTGAGGTCATATCTCATCACCTTTGACGAGCTCGACCCCATCAGCAAGTACCGGTGCTGGGTGAGTATCATGCACGCCCCAGGCTGCTTGTTGTCCGGTGCCAAATGTCCTTAAATTTTCAGTATTATGTGGCCTTGCAAAGCTGGCTTTTGAGATGTTTGGAGGACCTCATGCCTTCCGAGCAAATTCGCAACCTCCCTGTTTTTCCTTTTCCACCCCATACAGGGATGGGAAGATGTGTGCGAAACAGAGCAGTCGATTTTCATGGCGACTGTTGTTAATTGACAATACCGTGTTTTGTACGGAGCTGACTAGGTACCGTGAAATTTACTTACCTGAAAGTCCTCAGGTATTCTCCGATCCATGTCCTCCTCAAACCCCACCCCACCCCCACCCCTTGCCCTGCGCATGGTCATGGGGCGGTGACAGTCGAGCTGCCCTGGGCAGTGAGGACACAGATTTCCCTGACACTGGCAGTTAGGCTGATGTCACACGAGTGCAGCGTCCATCCCCGGCAGCGAAACGGAACACTTTCCTCCACCAGGTGTACGTCAGAACGGACATCAACCGGATCAAGATGTCGCAGGCGGTCGGCAGCTTCTGCAACATTAACCAGCGTGCCGACTCAACTAACTACACGGAAGGCGCAGCCGTGTTTCTAGACCTGCGCGAGAACGAGCGCGAGCGTGAGTGTCAGGAGAACCTACCAATCAAAATGCACCGCAAAGATGACTGATGTGCTGGAACGGTGCTTAGATGAGGGGTACTTACGCAGACAATGTGGACGTGGCTGCGGTGTATGAACAGGGGCGGATCCAGGAATTCTAATCAGGAGGCACAGTTTTCCAAAGGGGCACGTCCTTGCAGGTATTTGACGTAAGGGCCATGGTGATCATATAGTACACGGCGTTGTCTTTTTAGAAACTGATGCGCTAAATTTCGGGTCACAAGTCTCGCCTTATCGCGAACCAAGAGTAGAACAGCATTGCGCCATTAGCAAAGGAGTGAGGAACTATTTGCAATCGAGAGCTCTGCACATGCTGACAATGGGTGCCCTTTTGTGAAAACGTGCCAATGCCCGATATTAAGAGTTCGGGGGTTATTATGCCGATCATAGCAAACCTTCAGCGTTTCAGTGGTTACTTGTAATACAAAGCATTCAAACAACCATTGACTGTTAAAACATAACACCGACACTAAGGTGAAATGGTGTTAACACGTCCGAAAAATTGGCACTCTACACTGGCAGGAAAGTGCTCTCAGGCATCTATGCTGCTACGTACTAAGACCGATCTTTTTTAAATGACTGGGGTTTGAAAAACTGCATAAGCTCAGTTGGCGGAAGGTCTGGGTCTGGAAGCAGCTGCAATGCAACTGGTATGACTGGTGTTCACATGACGGCTGTTGGCGTCGATGGGCCTGCTGGTATCTGCTGGGCGTCCAGCCGACTCGTCACGTAGTTCGGCATTCCAAGCGTCTGACCACGTGCCGGAGTTTGCACAGATCCCCTCCGAGCGTACTGTGTCAGCTCGCCCCCACTCTCGCTGAGACTTTGGCCGGCCATTCCAGGGGACCGCTGCCCGCTCTACTTTGACGACGGCGAGAACCCGTGGGCGCGGCAGGACAGATACTTCAAGGTATTCGACTTCAAGGGCGCCGGCGCCACCCTGGGCGTGCTGAGCCTGCCGCTGCTGTTGCTGCTGACCACGGCCACGGCCGCGTTCGTCTGATAGTGCTGCGCTGTCGACGGCGTACCGCTAGGCCAGTGGAGACTGCCTCACTGGCGACGTCCCCCCGCGGGGAATGAACTCAGCGTATGGTGGCGAAGAGAGCGTGCATGTCTCTTCCGGCCCGGACAGAGATCTGAGAGACAGATATCAGAGGGACAGAGATCAGAGCTACAGATCGCGCCGCGTCATGTGAGTGCCTCGTTTCTTGCGGTAGTGTGACGGGCCTACGCGGGCATGACGCATGTCCGCGCATTTCTGCACGAGACTGTGAGAAGGCGCCGCTCCCGACGTGCTGAAACTGTAAGGTGCCTGGAAATGGAAGGCACTGGGTTCAAGGACGCCGCAGAGTGTGAGGTATGGCCGGTGCACAGTCTTACTTCGTGATTAGAGTCCCACGCAGTCAACATTTTCTTGTGTATGTGTCAATATCCACCTTCACAGATGTGTTCAATGTTTTTGGGCTGCAGATACCCAAAATGGGATTATAAGCTGAGCATACGGGCTTGGGTCATACCGGGCTATTCTTGAGGCCTTTTTTAAACAAGTGGACCGAAATTGCTCAAACAGCTCGGCAACCCAGCTACTGATTTCATGTGCATAGATCATGTACTTAAGCGAAGCGTTCTATATGTGCATGTGCTGCTGTTGTATTTTGTGTCTGGCTTGTTTCTTACAAAAGCTGGATGTTATGAAATACATATGCACGAGATACTGCGATAATAAAGCTATTACCACAGATTTCAGGTCTGGTGATTGGGCTTCTAAAATCCATGTGATTCCAAGGTCATATTCTTTAAATTTCTGCGATTGCATTTGGTCGACACTGACCAAACGTGCAAGCTATTCAAATGCAGCGTTCCTTCGAACCCGGAAAAACAGGTTAGCTGGCATTCCGTCTGTCACATGCTGTTGAAAGGCCGGGGTTTAAATGTTATTGAGAGTATTCGCCTTTTCACATTAAATTCATTTTGTGATTTAGTTCGAAACCAGCAACGCAAAAGGTTTATCAACAATATACGTGCAACTGATCGGTAAAGGTTTACGCATGCCCTAACGCCAAACCGTTTTGTCCTTGGACCTACCACCGCGTATGGTGCAATAGCCGAGGTGCAACAAGGAGAGGCAAAAATGAAAATGCAAACAAATTTACGATTACCGCAAGGGCGGGAGCGAAAGCCTGGCAAAACTGGTCGCTCGGAGCTGCAGGTTCCAGACTCTGAACTGAAACTGCGAAGACCAAGTCACGATCTGAGCTCTAGTGTTGCTGAAGGCCGAGTGGAACTTCCCAAAGCCTCACCAAGAAGTGCCAGTCTGGACAAAACGAAAAAGGGAGGGTGGCTAACGCCAGGACTAGGATTAGCTGACCCGTGCGATCAGTATGCGCTCAGGTGGTTAATCGACACCCCTTCTACACCGGCCCTGGCCGTTGGGCTACTCGGCGCGCTCCGGCTGGCCTGCTGAGGATGGGAGCGCCCTCGGCCAACACTGGCTTTTGGCCGCGAAGTGAAGGAGAGAGGTGAGTTGCGGTACGGCCATGCGGCCCTGGCCGGGGACCTCCGCTAACCAGCCTCACTCCGAGCATGGACCGTCTCTGTGTTTTGTGCGGGCGCTCGGGCGGGACTCTCGAGGATTTAGCGTTCGAGTGAAGCGATGAGTGAGCTTACAGGGGTGGCTGTCGGCGCAGCCTAACGCCTGTCCTTTAGACGCCAGTGTGCACATTCCATTGGTTGTTCCACCGGTGGTCGACAAGGCGCTGCTGTCTCCCGTGAGATGACCTCTCGTTGTACCCACCTCCTCCCCCTGCTGTTCGGTTTCCTTCTGGAGAACCTGGACAGCGGAGAGGAAAGGGGTGGGGGCGCGGGCGAGAGTTCGCTTTTGTTTTCTGGCTCGCCGGGCCCGCGGGGCCCGCCGTGTTCAAGTACCGAGAATGCATGTGTTCCATCGGATGCAACAGATGCTCAGGCGAGGAACACCGTGCGTTGCCACCTAGGCTCCGGCCGTATTTCCTGTGGACAGTGGACATCGTGGCTTCAAATCGCAGGGGAGGCGACATGCTCCTGGACTGTTCGGAAAACAGCGGTGATGGTTTGAATGGGTCGGCCCAGAGAAGCGTTTTTTTTTTATTTAGCTATCGCATGTTATTTCTATATTTTTGTGGTTATGTGTTGTGTCTCATTGTAGTTATATTGGTTTAACATTAGTTATAAACATTGGTCATCCTGTCAACATTCGACGTTTCAAGTTGCGTTTATGATCACAGCTTGAATTGTCAAGTACTGTCAATATGCCGAATGTTTGCTCTATAACCTCGTTTTACCAGCGCCTACTCGTAGAATGAAGTTCACTAACTAACATAACAAGTCTGAACTCATAATGCCGAAAACCAGGAGCTGAATGCCTTACTGACGCATATCAGGTCTCACCCTTTGCCACCATAGGTGGGGACCATTGGAAAACGAGGGCAGGGTGCGCTGGGTTATATTTCAAAAATTACAACCAACACGTAGATTTGGCGCTTGCTTCGCCGCAAACAGTGGCGTCCGTGACAATGTCCCTTTATTAAAAGGCCTTGGGCTTCTAGAGACAACACGACCACGCAGTGGTGCCCAAGCGTGCGATAACCACCAAAAATATTGCTCATAAACAAGCAAATCCCAAAACAGGTCGCAGCGTATCTCCGCTTACACGTGGAAACTCTGTGCACAGAACTGTGTGCTGTGCACCGGGTGGTGACCTGACAACGGAACGCACAAAGTCATCGCGGAGTGCGCCCATCCTGTTTGCGCCCGGGCTGTAATTGCCCCCTCCCCCTTCCCCATCCTCCCCCCCCCCTTCAACGGAACTCTGCGACACAGACTGGCGCACACCGGGCGCGTAACCCTACGTACAGGAGAGCACATGCGCACCAGCGCTTCGCAAATCAGACCCCTGCCAGAGGCTAGTCTCTGTGCTATAATTTTTGCGTGTCCGTTCGAAGACGGACATCGTGGTCTTGTTTACTGGAGCCTTGCATATATTACCCCTGTATTCTGTGAGAGCATTTTTTTCAATTTCAACAGGAATGCAACCAAATGAAGCATGAGTAAAATTATGTCATACAAGGACGATTGTGGGCTGTCACCCACCGATCTCCGTGAAGGTTGCGAACGGCTCAGCCCATGATGCTGCACGAAACACCGGCTCACCGATTATTTGTTTCCCGTGACCCGCCTGTTTCCCGTGACGTCATGATAATTAGCACATCACACCCAGTTCTCGTCAGGCATCCCGGCAGCCAGAGGTCGGGTCGTCCAGGGAATCTGGACGACTGCTCAGACTTTCTGACAGACTCTCCTACCTCTGACATGGAAGCTTGCCTGTTCTGTGGACTAGCGTCGGATCAGTGGACGGAAAACATGGCATGTGCAAGCCATCAGCTGAACTCGTTAATGTAGCCCGATGTTTATCGACCGGAAACGTATGTTCGTCGTACGTGACGATGCACCTGCCAACTCCAGGGCATCCATCTCTCCTTCCCCACCGTAATGAAAAATCGGGTGTGTTGGCTAAAAAAAAGCGTGTACTAAAAATCACGACAGCTGAGCGGATGCGCGACGTAATTAACTTAACGCACGTATAATCATAAGATACGTAAAGGTTTGACAAGTTAAACTGGATGCCTCTGGTGCACGGGGTTGACTCAAATTTTTCATGGTTAGTCTCGTCCCCATCTCCCACCACCAAAAATTCGTGCCGTCGCCGAATGCCGCTATGGAAGAGTGCTTTCAGCGCCCGAAAGCGATGTCTAAAGGGGCGCGTTTTCTTTCCGATCAGAAGGCGCACGTGCCTCCAGTGGCCTCCCGCTTTGGATCTGCCCCTGCATGACTTCTGTGATGCCTGAATAAATGACTTTCATAAATGAACCAACATTAAAAAGGTATACTGTCTTTTGTCAAGACAGAGTGAGCTAAATCAGTTGTGAAGAAATGAGGCAGGCCACCTTGTTGGGACCTCAGCAGCCCCCACCCCACCCCCCACCCCCCATCCTCACCACCCTTTATAAAAAAATAACCACCTCCGCAACCAAGGATGGAACATCCAAGCTCAAGACAAGCCCCGAGCACTACAATGTCTGTGAGCTGTGGCACGAGCCCTTGGGTGTTGAATGCAAAGTGAATGGCCCAAAGCCGCCAGAAATTATTAAATTTGAGGAGTACTGCCCATGACTCAAAAAAATGCATAATCTCAATGAACAAATCTCATAACCTTTCACTGCAGCTTCGTCAGAAATCCCACACCGCGAAAGCATTACTCAGGATATTTTGCATTATTTCAATTTTATTAGACGCCAAGCACTGTCAACCACATCTCAGCAATCACACCCACAGGACCGTTGATTAACTGGCATACGCTCCTTGAAAGTCCTCAAGACTTATCGTGGTCCCATCCCGTCACCTTCGGTGCAGTGGACTCGCTGAAGTGTTCGGGCGCCAAAAAAAAAAAACACAGGGCAACCCCACACACCTCCCCTCACACCCACATGGCTGCTGCGCAGTCGCGAAGCGCTGTTCCGACGTCCGCCAGCAACCTATACGACGAAGGTGGGTCAGCCAGGATGTGAACATCTCGTGTTTTCGTCGACTGATCCGCCGCTGGCCCACAGAACAGGCAAGCCTCCATGTGGGAGGTTGGGTTTTATTCTCGGCTGACGCTTCGGCCCGTGAGCGCTGATACGACCATCGCGATACCGAGTGCTCCGAACAGTTGAAGCTCCAAACCGTGCTCCAGCGCTCAAAACTGCGTGGTGGTGGGGGCCGTGCAACCTTTAAAAGAAAAACGTCCGTGCAAGTCAGAGTGTCGCCGAAGAGCAATCAAAGCTTGTTCCCAATTTTCGTCCCGCTCCCGTCGCTCGTCCTGTCAAGTTCGTTTCTTTTCCGTCACTCGTCCTGTCAAGTTCGTCCCTCTCCCGTCGCTCGTCCTGTCAAGTTCGTTTCTTTTCCGTCACTCGTCCTGTCAAGTTCGTCCCTCTCCCGTCGCTCGTCCTGTCAAGCTCGTTTCTTTCCCGTCACTCGTCCTGTCAAGTTCGTCCCTCTCCCGTCGCCCGTCCTGCCAAGCTCGTTCTTTTCCCGTCTCTCATCCTGTCAAGTTCGTCCCTCTCCCGTCGCTCGTACTGCCAAGTTCGTGCCTCTCCCGTTACCGCTCTGTCAAGTTCGGACGAGTAAGAGGTCAGCCCTGGCGTAGCTCATCTTGCCTCGGATCGGCGCGCCGACCAGCGCCCGCCCCGCTGGCAGGCCCAGATGCTGTCGCGCGCGTCTAGAACACGTTGAGCTTGACCTGAGGTATGGCGTGTGAGCCGCAGTGCTGCCGTCGGTTGTAGGAGACGCATGGCTGCCATAGTGCCATCGGCTGCATCTTGTCCAGCTCCTTGACGTTGTCGCAGAGGATGCGCGCCCAGCTCGCCTTCTGGATCTCGCGCAATTGCTTATGCGAGAAGCTGTGTGGCTGGCCGCCGTTGTCGTAGAAGTATCTGCCGATGTGGGGGCGGTGAGAAGCGAGGGCAATGGCTGGTGAGGACGGACACAGGTACGTCCGCACAGACAGGCCTCCGGAAGCCGAGAACAGCCAAGGGAAACGGCTGTGGCAGCTGGCTCAGGCTCAAATGTAGCGTAGCGTACATGTCGGTCAGGCGCCGGTTCCGAATGCAGTGAAGCTGCAGTTTCATTATTGAAAGAGACGCCATCGCGAATCGCAAAATGCCCGCGCAAGGCGGTCCAGTAGACCAGCGGTGGTTAAATGCTCCCAAGTCCCTCAAGTGTTGGAGGTTGCCAAGCCCCAAAAGGCTCCCCAATCACCCTCACCTGTCTCCGTATCGCGTGTTGAAGAACTGCTCGCCGATGATGCACTGGAACACCTCGCCGACCAGGGCACCGGGCTTCCGCTTTTCGGACACACCGCCGATGAAGAGTTCGATGTCGTAGATGCTGTAGTAGACTGACTGCAGGCGTTGGAGCACATCCGGCTCGAAAAACGGCTTCAGCGCCGACCATGAGTTGGGCAACGACTGACGCAGGCAGTTCTGGAGCACAGTGACATAGCTCGGCAGGCCGTGATCTCGGCCACGGTTGATGTTCAGTGCGATTAGATCCAGGCCGAACGGCGCGCCCCTGGCGAAGAGCTTCTCGTGGATGGCGGGCACGAAGGTGCTGTCGACTAAGCGCGGCTTCTGGTCCGTCAGCGCGCGCGCGAACTGCGCCACGGCGCCCGGCGCTTCGATCAGGTTTGTGAGGAAAAATGTGTTTTCCAACGCCAAGGTCTCCGTGATTTTGCCCGTCTCGCTGCGGAGGACAAACGCGTCGTGCACCTGCGGAAGTGGAAGATGCGTGGGCAAGACGGCAGGTGAACGCAGAGTGTGGCGTCATGATGATGCGGCGTGCGCCGAACAAGCGATTCCTATAGGTTACCATTCCTGAACCTACGGAAGCAGATCGTGCAATTTCGGTTTCGGTGGTGAAGACTTTATACAATGATGTAATTTGGGCGTGTGGATACGAGCAAAAAAACAGTAACGAACAAATAAGCTGACTGCAACAATGCACTGCCAGGCTCACATCGCCCTGTATGCTCTTAGCCCGTTCATGCGGACGAACCATATAATTAACGATGTACCTCGCTCCTCCTCTTATTCTGAAGATAAGCCATTCTTATAATTTGATGTAGTTGTATAAAACATCGCATGCAAGACGTAGATGTGTCGTATTAAGGCGTTTAAGACGAATCGCAGACACTGCATCCAGTCTAAGGGTAATGGTGACCAGTTTCAACATCAGTTACGGTGCGGCCTCAGACCTCAGGATGACGAACGCTGATGAGGAGCGCTGGCGAATACACGTCGGTGAAGTGCCTAGGCCGGGCACGAGCACCCAACACCTCCGCTAGCATCGGAAGGGGCCGACCAGTGACCAGGCGGCGCTCAAGACGAGCCCGTCTTGGGCGGACCACTGACCTGGGAGTGGCCGAAGCGGAAGGCGGCTGTGGAGAACTCGGTTTTGATGGTCGGATCCACCTGGTCCGAGTACTGGAATGAGGGGCCGTGCACGGGCTCCAGGCCGTGATCGCAAGTGTACTGAGTACCGAGCACGACCGGCAGGTACTCGTTGTATATGATGTGCTGGTACTCCCCGATGACTATGCGGCGCGCCTCCTGGAAGAGCCGCTCTTCGTCCCAGTCGTAGTGTTTCCGGGCCAGTGCCTTCGCTACGCGGTTATGCTCGCGCGTCCAAACCGTGTGCAAGAAGGTGAGGCCAGGATTCTCGCCGAGGCGGCCATCGCCTGAGATAAAGCTGCCATCCACCTGTGGCAGGAGGTCACCCCGACTGGTGTTGAAGAGGCCACCGGTGAAGGCTCGCAGCCGGTTCGACTGCTGTATGCTGCTGCCGTAGATGTTGGAGGCGTCTAGGAAATGGGATGCCTGGTTCAGTTGGTTGACGGGACCGGCGACGCAATTCTCGAAGGGCGCCGGCAGCGAGCGCACGTGGTTCATGCACGTGCGACCGAACACCGAGAAAAAGGGGTCATCGTCGGGTATGCGGATTGGGTTACAGCCGACCGGGTGAACCGCCTTTGGCGGGTACGAGCCTCCGCCGCCGCAGCAAGACAGGCCGACGCTGCCGTTTAGCGTGAACACCGGCGTCGCGATGAAGTCGTGGTCGATGAACTGGCCAAGCAGCATGACGGAGATGGTGCGCAGGTTGTCCGGGCGTGGTGAGGTGCTCACCACGCGCTCGCTGACCAGTCGGGGCGACGGCAGCTTCACGCCATGCCCCGTCGCCGTCGGCTGGAAGATGCCGTCTTCGTACTCCGCCGGGAAGAAACGCGAGTAGGCTGACTGCGCGCACCCCAGCCGCGGACGCTGCAGGTTGTTGCACATGCCACTGAGGTTACGGTAGAGGTAAGTGAACCCGCAAGTTTCGGCCGGCTGCATGACCTCGCAGCCGGGGATCGTGACGGAGACGGGCGAGACGAGCTGGTTGAAGCTGGCGCGGTGCTGTATGCCGGCATCAAACAGCGGGGCCTCAGTGCTTAACGGCTTGTAGCCCATGGCCTCCATCTTCTTCAGCTTGGTCAGCACCTGGATCGACTGCAGTGATGCCTGGGCCAACAGCATGGGCTCCGACGACTGCGGCGCGGAGAAGCGGTGCTGTATAGCTTCCGCCGAGCCCGCGATCGCCTCATTTATTCCCGTTTGAGCAAGTTGGCGCACTTCATTCGCTACAGTTTCCATCGTTATCATGGCCTCTTGCAGCACAGCTGCCGGCTGAAATGCAGGGGAGCCTTAGCCACTGGTGAGGGCGCGACTGCTGACTCCGTGTGGCTGCCATAGCTATGGCCCGCGGCCACGAGAGGGGATCAAGAGAAAGAGGTTAATAACTATCTCCCGTTTAACGTCCGTGAATATGTTGCGAGCAGTATCAGGTGTAGGCACGACAAAGTCGCAGGACTATTGGAGCAATTCCTTTGACAAATCAAGGAAACAATCTTACGCTGAAACAGGTCACTGAGTCACGCCGTCATAGTTCATTCTTGCGCGGCATTTGTGCCTCTACTGCATGCAGACTGTTGCGGTTTCCTTCCCTATATGAATTGCTCTGATTTAAATTGCTGGCTGGCTTGGTCGGATGGGCTCAGTCATGCTGTGCGGGGAGACACCAGGTCACCATCAGAGTTCGTGTGAAGTCTACCTATAAGTGTTGAAACAAAATAATCTAACACTTTCGATTCGGTAGCGCTTATATATTTCCAAGCCAATGACTGCAAGTGGCATGTGAACTAAAAGACCAGAGCAGGAAATTTGAATCAATGAACTGACCAAGCCTTGACCTGTATGGACTGGACATTGGCATTCATCACTAACATTACGGCATGGTTCTCAAACACAAGAGTGGGTTCTCTAATTAGGAGACGCTAACGGAAACGGAAATATCACAACCTATGCACAACCATCATTATGGTTCCTGGTGGGTGCTACAGGATTTCATGGGTGGGGTGGGCCCACGGGTGAGAATACCCATATGAATTGGGTATTGGGTCAAGCTGAATATACGTCTAGGAGAAATCACAGGTATGGGTACGAGCATGACAGTTGCGAAACATCGCGAAAGGCTCCAATTCAAAATACCCTGACATTGTGAACGCAATGGAGTAAGTTAGACTTTTCTGAAACTTTTTCATAATTTCAGGCTTAAGAACTATAAATTGCAAACGGGTGTGTAAATTCTGGCACATCTGATTGGGAATGGTAGCGTGTGGGTTTGACACATCCCCATGGGCGGCAGGTGAAATACGTAAGCGAAATGTTACGCTTAAATACCTCTACTGGGCACGAAAACAGATCAAAGCAAAATGATCTGTGCTCCCTCCGCAGTGTTTTTAGATATTACGTTGGATATTTTTTTAAGAGATTTTGCATGAATTATGATGTCATTGGTGGCGTGACCAGTGTCACCTCATCGATTCTATGGTAACGATGGACAGGGAGTTCAACTGCGTTTTGAATATTTCAAATTCGTTGACGAGATCTTGGGATGCGATTGAGTTACTTTAAATCCGCAGGCGGCCGGAACGACGAATATTGCGACCGGTATCGGATTAATGATCATGGGACATGAACATGTACCGTCGTCACCTGTCTTCTTTATCTCTGTGGTCCCAAATTAATAGAACAATTAGGGGGCAGATTGTAACACCAATGTATGGTTCTAAAAATGCTCCCAATCAGACATGTACCGTGTGTAAGCTACAAAGTTAATGGCATTCCTTCATAACCCTTGGCACATTGTAGCTCAGTTAACCTCTTCGCTTTACGATCGGAAACCACGTTTTGTTGCGGTTCTGAGATGTCAGCATGACTGGCAACCACGCCTGAACAGAGAGTTACGCTGTGCGAAACCCCTCCCCTGGTTGTGCTTTTGCTCGCACCATCAAATCTCCTTCTTCTCGCCCTTCATGCGTAACGCACTTTATGGACGGCCACGAAGACCGGGAGTGCCACGCGTAGCTGACAACTCCCTAAAAAAAAATTGGGCGAACTCCTCTGGTATGTTATCTTTTTTGAAACCGCTGGCGATTGTTTTCTTAAGTCACCATGGGCGCAGCATTACAGCCTTGAAATTATTGAGGGTCCAGGCTTCCATAAAACTATACAGAGTGGCGACCTTGTGAGCACATCCCTCAGCAAGCCAAACGAACCTCCACTTCGCTACTGATGACATACTCTTGCTGTGCTTTTAGTCGGTTCTTCAGGGGTTGCATGTCAAGCACTTTCCGGAAGACGCCGAAGGACCTTTCGGAATTGTTCTTCCAGAATGCCGCCACGTAATCTGGTCCTTCGAACCTGTTGTAAGTGATCACAAATGGTCAGTATTGGGCTCAAACCCAGCGGGCATCCTGCCGAGTCCCATGATCATGCAGGATGCCGCAGTCATGCAGCATACCGTGTCATGCCTTGAGTGCTCAGCCAGGATACTGTGTCCAGCCTGGAGTGCTCAGCCAACGTGCTCAAGGCCCTGTAACAACGTGCTTTTTATAACAACGTGAACGTGCTTTTGTTTTTCGTATGCTTTCGCGTGCTTATGCCCGCCTTAGTGTTCCCGTCTTACGGGTGTTGAACGAATACTGACGGCAGATTCCGCTTGTATGCGCAGTTTGTTCAGGATACAAATAGCGGTCTGCATACTACCAGCTTAATCTATAATTAAGCGATTGCAGTCTGGAACGATTTATTGTAACTATTTAACTGGGAGTATTGTAACAATTGGCCATGACCGTTTACTGGCGACCAAGCTTCTTTTTTCCGCGGATCAGCGCTTCCGCCAACTTCGAAAACACTAGTGGCTGATTTTGCTTCCGCTGAAAGTAAATCCGTTAGCTTATTCCGCTAAGGTTTTTTTAAGAGTAAAATTACTCAAGTTCAGCGGTCGTAGATGTCGATACATGAAGGGTTCAAACGTGTTTTTATTTGCTTGCCGTGGTCATATCTGCAGCAGTCCGACACGCCGTTCGCTATTAACGTGAAAACAAAAGACGTGATGGTCAAGGCAGCAGCAGCATTGTGTAAGTGTGCTGTTCAGATCCGGGTTATACAGTGTACAGGTACGAGCACTTGAAAAGACCTAAGGATATATGATGTTACGTGATCACTAACCCGGAGCTGGCGCGCGAGTGCGCACGCATTGGTTACATTCATCGCTCATTCCCTCCACTTTTAGATGTACAAGGAAACAAACAAAAAACATATCACCGAACGGTGCATTTTATGCACTTCGCAAACAGGATACCTTTAGGCCCAGAAATAAGAAAAAACAGCCATTTCCAAAGAACGTTGTACAAATTTTTGCGTCCGACAGCGCTAGGCACACAGCGCTTGGGTGGAGCCAAATGTGATCTGCGTGAATGTGACTGGTAAAGACGATGTGGCCTCCTGTGACGTCACTGGCTAACACCGTTGTTCCGATACAAGTACCAACTCCATTTTAATACAAACAGGCGAGTCGAAACCCTAGCAAAGTTTCGATTGAAAGCACGTTATCAACTTGTTCTCCATAAGCTGTGTATTACCTTCAGTTATCACTCTGCGGCAAATTTTACGGTATTGCTGTCGGTGTTCTTTCGATACTTTTTAGCAGCAAAGCACGCTTTTATTTGAGTTGTACTATATCTTTTTGAAAACTGCAGTGATCGTGCAAGTCATACTTTAAAACCGTTGTGTGTTTACACAGGCTCCAGTCGTCCCCAACTGATACATGAATTTTTGTAGGTTCGCCGTCTCCTGAAGCGAAACGAATCATCTTTGCTACGTGCAGCATCAATGGATATGAGCCCCGGAATGACCATGATACAACAAATATGTCCGTGGCCGAGGAAAAAACTGAATTCATAATTCAATAAAAGTTGGTGGGTAGCGGTTATAGTAAGCTATGTAAAAGCTCTAAGGAGTTAGTCAGCTTAGTGTTATTAAGTCAACTTTTGATTTAGTGGATTAGCGGTTATCGAAGCTAACTTTCCGGTTATGTGCGCAGCCCACTGCAAATGGCAATGGTGTCTCATTGCAGACAAATATGACCAAGTGGGTTGCCACAGGGGTAGTGGGCGTTTCCCGAGGCATGCGCCCTGCACTAGATATTGAGAAGTTTCGCGCGAATTTAGCTGGCATCTGAAATATTTGACCTTGGCATTTCCCTGGGAAAACTATTGACCGCATGCCTTACGTGGCCGCATGTCCTCGCGATGTGAAGACGATTTTTACTGCTGTTCATCAAAAGGCACGGCGTGATGGAGTGGTCTCCCCATATATGGGTACACACACACACATATCAACCATTGATGACGACGTGACACATATGCGGCTCTGTGACCCGCTCTGTGACCGCGCACATCAGCCGGCCGACGCGCCAGAGAAGGCACGGGGCGACAAAGGCGCCGCCTGAGTGACGGCCGCCTCACTTGTGGCAGAGGGCGTCGGAGTCGCACAGCACGCCGCCGGAGCAGTCCCGCAGGCTGCAGCGCCGCCCACCGGCGAACGGCCGCACGCTGGGGTGTGACGTCACCAGCGTCTTGCACTCGATCAGCGGCACGCACGCCTCGGCCGCCGCCCAGCCGACCGCCACGGCCAAACAGCCGACCTGGGCAGGCACGAGCGCGGTCAAACCAGCTGCTCCGCCGTCTGCACGCCTGTGAGTGTACTTTGGAACTCGACGTGAAATGCCGGATGATGAAACACACTTGTTTCAGTCATGTTTCACATTCATGTGTCACCTGTGGCGCATAAATCGAGACCGCTGCTAGATTAACTTGCAGTATGGACTTAACCGGATGCGGGGAATAATGGCTGGTACCTGTCTTTATGCAGAGTGTTCACCAGCCCATGACTTCCTCTGGCGCCGTTTGTGAGCCGTTCAAAAACATATTCATGTCCACGGGCTGTGAGTAGATATATTGATCCACCAGGCGTAAGGAGATCGGGATCAAACCCGATCACTAATGTCAGTGTGTCAGGCGCAACAGTGGTGGGAATAGCGCCGCAAGCACCCCAGAAGCCATAAAATCGGTTTATTCATGCACGGCATTCCCCACACTGAGAAAAAATGCGATGAGCGGGTGGCATTGATGATTTTTGTCCCTCGAATCCAAACATTCGGTAAAAGTAATACGATTCTGTTGCTGGAATCGATAACCACCAGAGCCAGTCACATTACTCGTGCCGATTGTTTTGGCTCTGAGCACGAAAATCCCTGACAGTGTTCAGTGTCCACATTGCACCCACGTATAGAGCGTCCCATCTACCCGCACCACACATCGCCACGCTCGCGCGCCCGGCGCCAGCCAGCTGCACTCACGTGTAGCAGATTCATCGCGGGCGAGTGCGGGCTGAACTGAGCGGCCGGCCCAGCCCGCCCACTTTTATCGCCTCGGGGCACGACACGCGCGGGCGCCAGCCGGGCTCATCTGCCGCCGTTTGTTTGGTTGGTTCTTTGGAAAAGAACCCTTTCGAGCAGAATTAATTATTTCAGGGCTGTGGGATGAAGGAGAATATAAAAAGGAGACGGTTGGGCAGGACTACATGCGCCTGGGGGCCAAACGCCCAGTTTTAACCCGCGGAGGAGCCCCTCGGGGTGTGCGCTGGGCGCCAGGTTGGGGTTCCCCGTCCCAGGAAGCCTCTCGACCCGCTCGTAGCTGGCGCATACAGCCTGCCTCGGATAAGTGGGGCGTCGCGAGGATTTAGGATAAAGCGAGGAAGAGGATAGGAGGGTCGGATGCACGGCCACCGTATTGGGGAGGCGCAGTCGCGCGGTAGCGAAAGAGCTTCGGGTCAAGGTAGGCACGTAGCCAAATGTTCCTCACGGGGGGAATGTGTCGAGTTTGCTCTAAGCTCCGTAAAATTTGACCACATTTTTGGCGAAATCACCCAGTATATGGCCTAGACCCCTGGGCTCAGGGGAAGGAGGGACGATCCCTATGGCTCTTTTTTTTGGCTGCACCCCTGACTGGTTGGGCTATCTCATTTAAGTGGCTTGATGATGATAGGTCACGATAAAACCTGCTTAGGTCAACTGTATTTTGTCAGGGTTATTTGGCCATGAATGCTTATAGTATGTCATTGTTAAGTTTCCTCGCCGGAGTGGGCTCGGTATGACATGAACAAGATCACAATCTTACAAGACAAGAATATGAGCTTTATGCGCATGTCACAGATGTGTGCTTTGACATCTCGACTTCCACAAACCTCAGTTCAGCACGCACGCCCCTGCAAGCGCAACCGAGAGCGTCAGAAGGATATAACGTCTCTTAAGCTCAAGGGCGGTGAGACACGCTGTGCATTAGTGCGATGCGAAGCAATGTCATGTGGCTGGAGGCGGCGCTATACCGACAACGGCCTCGCATCCTCGCGCGGAGAACCAAGCGAGAACTACAATTAAATACTGTGCATCCGATGAGCTGGGGACGCGGAACAGCGTTGCGTGGACAAGCGTACGCGTGATCGATGCGTGTTATGCAGCTTAGAAGAGTAAACCGCGATGTACTTCATATCAGTGAGGCACGAGACAGCGCTACGTCGTTGGTGGCGGCGCTTCCCGTGCCGACGTGGGCGCCTCCTAGCGCAGCGAAGCAACCGGGAACCGTTTGTCTAATTCTCTTGTTTCCGAGTGCATGTCGGTTTATCTGTCCGTCTGTCTGTAATCATTTCTTTGGCGAGACGCAGAGCACAGACGGTTTCACAAATTGCCGGTAGTTGGTCCACACGACGGGCTCAAACGTCGCTACGATCGGCGGCATAAATTCAAGCCCGTCCGACACCGGTGTCTGTCACAGCGTGCGCAAGAGGGTAATGTTTTTGCTCTTAGTAGAGTAATACTTTTCGTGCATGTAGGGAAGACGAGAAGTGCAAAGACTAAGTGGTCGAAAAGACGTATCAGAGCTCAAGCAACGACGAATTTAGCATCGCACAGGCAGGGGACTGACAACTGACGTGTGCACTGAAATCTTAAGAAGCACAGTTGACTACACTTTGTGCATCACTGAGATGCGAGCCAATGCCATGCGGCTGGAGGCATTTCTATACCGACAACGACGCTGCCGTCTCTTCGCGCAGCAAAGCGGGGCTCACTCCACTCATCCGATGACGAGGTGCAAACGTCATGAGCCAAGTTCCGAAGAAGCGATCCGGGGCAGGGGCTGAACAGAGGCATAATTGGATAGCTCCGACCGGCCATGGCTTTCCCCTAGGGCGCCGAAGGCACGTGAATGGCAGTCCCTATTGTTAGAAGTGATTGTTGCTGGCCCATGCGGCCTCGAAGGTGACCTGTTGGCTGCCATTTATTGACCACAGCGCTCTATGAACTGACAACACCTGACGACCCGATATTATGCCAGCGGTGTGTTATACACGCAAAATATGGTCAACGGCTCCGCGGAGAACTCTATGGACGCCCCCAAGGGCCGAAAAACGCCCAAAGCCTGAAAATGCGTCTCTATGAAGGACACATGACCTATCAGACCCGGATATACACTACCTGAGCGTGAAAGGTGACAAGTTGCAGAGCAAAAGGACGTGGAGTCTTCTTAAAATTCCGAACACGCGTGGATTTTGACATTGCGTCGGCGCAAACATTTGCGTGCGTGATAGGACATTCCTTTGTCAGAAGGCCTTGAGCTGCTAGTACCAGCACGGTTGCGCAACAACGTTCACGCCTGCAGTTACCAGCATCATAACATCACCCACAAACAAACATTTCTACGCGTAGGCCGCAGCGTGTCTCCGGTTACACAGGAAAACATTGATGTAACGATATGATGAACGACATCAAGAATTAAACAATGTGGGATGGGTGGTGACCCGATAACGAATGCGCATTGCTCGTCTTTCCTGTTTGCGTCCAGGGGTTGTTGGAGCCTCCAACGTCTAGCTTCCAACCTGCCAAATGCCAACAGGGATTTTTTGAACTCCCGACTTGTAGCGTCCGGGGGGGGGGGGGGTGTTTAAGCTCCCATAAGTGCATTCGTGAATTGTTCCTATTCTCAGTATAGCGTCTAGGAGTTTGAGTTGCTTGAGCCAACGGATCGTCCAGGGCTTGTTTGAGCTCCCAGTGTAGCGTCTAGGTGCTGTTTGAGCCCCAGTGGGGCGTCCAGGGATTGTTTGAGCCTCCAGCGGGGAATCCAGGGATTGTCTGAGCTCCCAGCGGAACGTTCAGGATTGTTTGAACTTAAGCGTAGCGTGCAAAGACTGTTTGGGCCCCAGTGGAGCGTACAGGGACTGTTTGAGCCCCAGTGGAGCGTTCAGAGGCTGTCTGAACCACGGATGACACTCTTTAAGATTGGTCGAGTGGCGGCTCAGCCGAAAACCTCAACCTGATTTCCCCCCGGACTTCCACTGCTTGAATTTGTGTCCGTAAAACAACTTTTTATATTCCGTAGACTGAAATTTGTTTTTCTGCGGAGGAATGCCTCCCCATTTCGAGTTGATGTGAGATGCCTTTCGCAAAAAGCTTAAAATGCGGTATAATTCAAAGAAAAACATCTTGAGTAATCTTAATAATGAACCGCTGATAAATACTGCTGCCGCTGATCACGTTGCATAACCACCACAGCTGCAGTTATGCGACAAATATGCTGTACACTGTGCAAATACACTTGCCATTTTAAGGGGGAAAACATACGTTGACTTTTAACCAGGGCACCCTGTTCTTTTAAAAGTTGCCGCATACTGTAGTCAATTCTTTTTCTTTCCATGCATTATCATTTGAAAATGTTGTCAGATACTGAAGACTGGCTAAACATATGAAACAGTCAGTATGACAAAAGCATTAGGCACCTTAAGCATAGGTAATATTTGGTTCAAAATTACCATGATACTAGTTGTGATGTTTTAGGTACCCACTACCTAGTATGCGAATAGTTTAGATAGTTGCTCTGTATTCATTTGGCCCTGCATTCCCTCTTTCCCCACGTACATTGCGAAGGAAGGGGGGTGCTTAAGAGGAATATTGACGGGCATCATTTGATATTCCTATGGCCGGGCTCAAGTCAGCAATGAGACAGGGCTTGCCCCCCCCCCCCCCCCCCCCCCCGGAAGTACATAAAGTGACGCCCCTGGTTTGAACCCTAGCAGGTGTCCGTATTTTAAAAAAACTGCACCTCTTCGGCCGGCTATAAGTCCCTTCAAGCCAATGGGCCCCTTCGGGGCCGAAGGGACCATGGCCCCATGCCCCCTCCCCCACTGGATTGGCCCGTGGACGTAGCTCTTAAAAGTGACTTTGTTGACCTGAGGTGACCTGAGGGCACCAGTATGAGAACAGTTGATGAACTGTGGCTGTTTAATGGTGATAGTTGCGAAGAAATGTTTAAATGGGTTTTCGAGCCTAGATGGCTGTCATGCCTTAAAGTGGTACCCGCAGGTCGGTTGCCAGTCAAGATGGTGACCCGAGGTCGGCGGGTTCGTCGTGAATTTCTTTTTCGATGCGAGTAGAAAACCTTCACCATTCTGGGATTTCAGTTCCCTTTGAATGCGAGTTGCTCCTAATGCGCTGAAAGGTCGGTCGGTTGGTGGTCAGTGGGGAGGATGGTGGAAGTGATTGGAGAGCGTGCCTGGAGAAACTCTTGCGCGTAATTTACAGAAGAGTGCTGTCTACCGGCTGCGTGTCATAACAACATATCTTGGACTACAGGGCCTTGGGAAAAATATTTTCATCCGGGTAGTGCAAAGAACGGGATGTTAATCTTGAGATGTGGTTAGCATCAGACTTGGGTTTGACCCGAATGTCTCGCGTCAGCTCCGGACTGGCTCACAGATTGTGCAAACTGATTCAGCTCGTGATTCAGCTGCTCCATTTTTCATTTGACTAAGTCCAGACCATACTTACATTGAAGCACTTGACTCATGACTCATGCAGTTTGAAAAATCAATTATCAGGTCCTGGCTCATTCATGTATATATATATATATATATATATATATATATATATATATATATATATATATATATATATACATATATACTTAAATACATTTCGTGATTTCTAGCTGAGATTTGGAAAACATCAGGATGAACAACATTGGCTTTTCTGTTTCGAAAGGCTATTCAGTTTGGCAATTTTGGCATTGGCTTAAAATGGCATTGGCATTCATTGGCATTTAAATGACATTGGCAAATGGCATTCACATTAAAATGAGTTGGAAATTGGTATATTGGTCAAGCGACAACCATTATCCCAATGCTACTTAGGAATCGAATAAGGCCATCAGAGCCATATTTATGGAAATTCACTCCCCATGTCACGGGCATGGCATTATGTGACAAGACCCAAAGCACGACAATACACTCCCATTCTTTGCTGTGATGAATTTCACATTCTGA